CGGCCTCCTCTGTTTTTCTATAGCGTATTTCTCCACAACTATTATAGGAGGGTGCGAACACCAACTCATACCTCTGCGGAAAGCCCTCCACGAGATGTTTCCAAAAGGGAAATAGACACAAGTGGGTATACCCACGCCATTCTCGGACAAAAGTGGGTACTCGAAAATCCAGCGCGCGCGCACTCCATAGGCGACCCCCAAAACGACTCAAAACCCCATTCTGACACCTGGGCGACACAGCCAGGGACCATACACAGCACGGGCATCGATTTATTCCCAATTTTAGGCACACCTTTGGCCCTAATACCGCCGACGCGCGCAAGGCCTCACCAGAGTGCCCACTTATGTCCGACATCGCGGTGGGTATACCCACCGGCGTCAACTAATTTTTTCATGTACCCACTTGTGTCTGTATTTTGACCCACTTTTGTCCAAATTGCACCCACTTTTGTCCACTTACGGACGGCGGAAATCGAGCGGAAATCGACCTCCACGTCACCGCACGGCAGAACATCGAATGGCCTCGGAACGTCTCAGAACCTCCCAAAACCGTATCCATGGCATCTTTCCTATCCATGGTTGCCGACTGCGGACCGACCACGGAGGAACATGTCAAAAACATGCCAGACCCCTCGGTACCGGCACGGGAAGATACCCGCGGCAAGCCCGGCAAGCAGCGCACTAACGGCACGCCACAAATAAATGCGTGACACACAACGGACAACACAACCAACGGTGCAGGGCCTCGACATGCTACTGCTGCCGTGACGAGTCGGTGTGCACTCGTCGTGGTGGTTGGTATTTTTGCGTGTGTGTTGTTGCTGTTTGCGCGTCTTTTTGTTTTGTATGCGCGACCCGTTGGTTGTGTTGTCCGTTGTGTGTCACGCATTTATTTGTGGCGTGCCGATAGTGCGCTGCTTGCCGGGCTTGCCGCGAGTATCTTCCCGTGCCGGTACCGAGGGGTCTGGCATGTTTTTGACATGTTCCTCCGTGGTCGGTTCGCAGTTGGCAACCATGGATAGGAAAGATGCCATGGATACGGTTTTGGGAGGTTCTGAGACGTTCCGAGGCCATTCGATGTTCTGCCGTGCGGTGACGTGGAGGTCGATTTCCGCTCGATTTCCGCCGTCCGTAAGTGGACAAAAGTGGGTGCAATTTGGACAAAAGTGGGTCAAAATACAGACACAAGTGGGTACATGAAAAAATTAGTTGACGCCGGTGGGTATACCCACCGCGATGTCGGACATAAGTGGGCACTCTGGTGAGGCCTTGCGCGCGTCGGCGGTATTAGGGCCAAAGGTGTGCCTAAAAGTGGGAATAAATCGATGCCCGTGCTGTGTATGGTCCCTGGCTGTGTCGCCCAGGTGTCAGAATGGGGTTTTGAGTCGTTTTGGGGGTCGCCTATGGAGTGCGCGCGCGCCGGATTTTCGAGAATGGCGTGGGTATACCCACTTGTGTCTATTTCCCTTTCCAACACCTGTTTCCAAAACCACCCTTTTCGGAGGTGATACCTCCCTGGTTGTGGAGAAAAACGCTATAGAAAAACGCTATAATAACACGGGGGTGCGATAACACGCACAATGACGGTAAGGCAACAATACAAGAGCAGCAGATAATCAGTACGATATCTCGCCCAAACACGCAAGCGATTTACGCTGGTCTCGTAGTCAGAAGTAAGGCAAGAAAACAAGCGGCAGCAGCAGAAAACCAATAGGCTAACTCGCCCAACCAGGTATCGACGCACGGCAATCAGAAGGCACCAAAAACAAGCGGAATCCGACCGCACGTAGCTCTTACACAGAAACACATGTCTGCACTCATGATGAAGAGCGGCGCACCTCTGCGTGGTACGTGTGACGACAGGGCAGCCGGCACAAGACGTCACCCTCGGCGTATTCCCCGAAGCATATGATGCACGACTCGCCCGAAGACCACAGCTCGGAAAGTCCTCCGGTCATTCCTATCATGTGTTGGCCGCGCGGGGGGGTAGGGATAGGGTTGGGGAGGGGGGGGGGGTGCACAAGGGTTGCCGATTGAAGTGGACGCAGGAACAAAGACGACTGGTTCACGCGCATGCCTTTTCTATGGGAAAATCCCGCCAATGGCACGTTTCTTGAGTGAGATCGATGCCTTGTTTCTAGACGGTTTCGAGCACCAGGTGAAACGAAACTCAAGCGCCGTGCCCTGTGTGATAATCGTCAGTGGAAGGGAAAACAAAAAATTCTTTCTACCCGCACACAAATGAGCTTTGTTGACGATTGTGCGAACGCTGTGTGGTTGGTTCAACAGGCGGGAACAAGAGGGGCCGTTCTCTGTTCTCGAGAGCATGTCGTATGAAAACCGTGAGCCACACATACGACACGCAACCGCAGGTGACATAGGTTATCAAGCGCCATGGACCGACCTTCAAAGCTCGATCTAAACAGCGGCAAGGACGGCGGTGACGAGAGCGGCGGAGTTGAAGCCGTCCCGTTCAGAGCTTTCCGAAACCGTATCGTTTCATTTGTGCATCCTCTTCGTGGTGGAAGAATCGGGCTTTGAAAATCGGTCCAGGGGGTGTGGTATATTGTGTCACCCAACGCAATCTACTAGTAGGCCTACCTCTCTCGGGGACCTCCTTATCATCGAACTCCTCTCCCTCCGGCGGCGGCCGCTTTTCAGGCCCCGCCACGGAAGGCTTGCTGCCAGACCCCCCCTCGCCGCTTTCATCGCTGTCAGCGACGCCACCACCGCAGCAGCTTCCCCTGATCGCGCTTTCTCCCTCGTCACGACCCAAAGCCTTCCAAAGTCCACACACGTGCACCAAAACAGCGCAGCACCAAAGTGAGGGGGTGGGGAGGGGGGCGAGGGCATCGGCGGAAGCACAAGTCAGCGGAAACAGTAACACCTGTGTGTCCTTTGGATGACGAGATGAACACGATCAAGTACGCCCACGCGAAGATAGCGCGCGATGTGTGTAGCACGCTACACAACAAGAGTCACAATGCGCGCGTTGTGGACAGGACTGACTTTCCAAGCGGGGGAGGGCGCCTCCGTATCGAGAACCGTCTCGATAAACGCACAGGCAGCATGGCGTCAAAAAAGGCGTGCAACATGTGTACTACATGCAGGCGCTTCGGCGATTGATTTCCCCGTTCGTTTCGGCCGACTAGACTGTTGCTCTCTCCCTCTCCCTCTCCATCTCCATCTCTCTCTCTCTGTGTCTCCAAGTCTGTCTCTCTCTCGCTGTCACCCCCACCCACCAACCCACCCTCTCTTCCGTATCTGTCTCTACCCCCCTATCTCCCTCTCTCTCTCTGTGTGCATCCGCCTCTGTCTGCCTGTCGATTTATCTCCCCACCCCCCCCTTACCACAGAAAATAACGGAGACAATCCCGCCGCCGCTCCCGACGACGGCGCCAGCATCATCACCCCTCCCCCCTCCTCCTTCCCCGAAACTCCCACCACCTCAACCCCCCCAAGAACCTCCGCCGTCCCGTCGTCAGCAACACCACCGACCGCCGCCGCCGCTCCCTCCCCTTGCAGGGTGCCCGCCAGCGCCAGAGCCGAGGGCGACACCGGCGGAGTGGCGAGTGGCTGCTCCGGAGAAGGGGGCGCAGCGGTATCAGAACCTGCCCCCCGCGGCCCACGGGTCGGCGCGGAAAGCCCCAAAGGCGACGGCAAAGAACAAGGCCTCGGTGACCCAGCTTCATCCTCGCGGTCGCTCGTGTCTCCGCCGCCGCTGACCTCGCCATCGTCATCCGCCGCTGCCGCCGTCGCTGCCGCCGCCGCCGTAGGCGCAGCCGTCCCCTGCTCCATGGCGCTCACCTCGGCATCTTTATCTGTTTGAGTCGCCGTCGCCGCTGTCCAAACCCCCTTGTTGGTGGAGGAAGACCGTCGGAACGTGAAGTAGTCAAACAGGTTTCGCCGGTCCTCTTTGCTTATCACCCGCCGAGAAGAGCTGGTCGCCGAGCCGTCCATGATTTCGATCACGAGCGCTGGTGATGTGGGATTGTTTCGGAAAAGTGTGAGCAAGTACGATTGCCAGGGGGGGGGGGGGGAGGGGGGGGTGATCAGCTTGAATAAGAGGCTGGAAAAAATGTTGTCATGAATTTTGCCGCCAGTCCGTCTTGTTGGGCGACGGCGTAAGCTTCGCAAAGCTGATTCGAATGCATGTGTACGTGTTTGTGTTACTACATTGTACTTGGAAGAGCCAACTACCACCCTCCTGAGCCATACGCGAGACATCTTGCGTTAGGTTGGGGAACTCTTTCGACGCGACAATACGCTCTCCACGAACCAACGAACCTTGCTCCGAGGCTGCGAGGTCCCGCTGCTGCTTGATGAGGGCGAGGCAGTAGGTGCCCGCCGCGACGAAGACCAGGACCGAAGTCGGCCTCAACCTCCTGCCGGTGATCATGTCGCAGATGAACACGATGAAGGCCAGCTGTTTCGTTACCCACCCGACGGATCAGAATTAACGTAGAACACACGAGGGGGGGTAGGGCGGTAGGATTCAACGGAAAGGGTTTTCGACCAATCAGATGTAACCGTGCGGGTACGGGGGGTTACATCGCGGCGGCATACGGATCAGGGACGAGCACCAGAGGGGGGGGGGCGAGCGACAGGTGCCCGAGGGCAACAGCAACAGACATAAAAAACAACGGAAGAGATACAAGATACCAACGGAAAGAAACGGCAGACGCTGAGACGCTTGAGACACAAGAAAAATTACACGCGCACACGCAAACACACACACACACACTTCCCCGTGACACCCCCTCACGGGTATCTCAGATCATGGTCTACAGAAGCTTTTCGCTGTTGTTCAGCCGCACTGAAGACTGGCGTCTTTTCATTGGCCAGCGCGGCCGATGCCAAGACACACAAGCCGGCGCGCACGCACAGTTCGGAGAAAGCGCAGGCAAAAGGGACAGCCGGGCGGCCCACAACGCCTCTCTCACCAGCGCGGCCAGCCCCAGGACGAAGATCGAAAACTCCGGCGACCGCACGCACGACCCAGCGAGTCCACGGCGGCGATGACTACGCTCACGACGCTCGCGTTCCCTCCGCAATCTCTCGTCCTCGGGAACCGCCGCCGCAAAGCCCCAAAACTCGAGGAAGTCCGGAAGCCGGCGGCTGGACCCCCACCATCCCCTCCTCCCCCTCCAACCGCCGCCCCCCGTGCCCCTGCCGGCGCCGCCCGCTGCTGCTCCTGCTGCCGCTGTGGTTGCGCCCCCGCCGGCGGCCAAGTCGACGTGCAGGGTCGATCTCCCCGGGCCGGACTGGCGAACCACGGCCGAAGGTCGGCGCGTGTGGAACTGGAAGGGCATCGTCCGACCGGACATATTATTGTTGTTGTTGTTCTCCTTGTGATTCCCGTGCACTGCGGAGCTTGGTGGTTCATGTAGTTTGCTTACGGAGGAGTCGTCGCATGTGGCTGACCTCGCCGCTACTTCTCCCTGTTGTGATGGGCGTGGGGTGGGCGGGGGGTCAAGCAGGCCAGGTGCGACGACGGACAAGGCGAAGAACGCGATCGCCAATAGCAGTCCCACAAGAGGCAACCACGCGTCGTCGTGCAGGGAAAAAACGGGCCATTGCGGCGTACGTGAGGGAACTAAAAACGGAAACACTGACACTAGTATAGAATAGCGCATTTTAGGGCCACCAAGCCCGTGCAAAATATCACACCAGGTGGTAGGAACTCACACGCAATGCTGTCAAGCTTCGGGGGGAGGGGGGGGGGGGTTACGCAAACTGCGGCGAAACTGGAGGAATCGTAGGTTGCTAGGGAGAACAATTTTCCACGGCTGGCTGGCTGGATGCTGCCGGTCACCTCCGTGGGAGGCATGTAACATGTAAATGATATTTGTATCAGCTTCGTAAACATGGCCTACCTGATTTACGTGCCTTTCCAGAAGTACCGAAAGAGGCGGAGAGATGGCACTCCCCCTGGGCGGACTTCCAACTCAAAGCTCGAATGCTCCGCAAAGAAGGGAGTACAGAAAGAGCCCGATAGGTCTACGGAGGAAAGCCCTCGACAACATGTTTCCACAATCTTGGTTTATGGAGCAATGGGGCCTTGAAAATCGGCCAGGGGGCATGCCATCTCTCCGCCCCGTATGCATACGGCAGTACAGCGTTTCATACGGCGGTACACGAGGTGGGTGTAGGAAGAAGAAACGTTCGGTTCACAGCGTGTGTGATCGCACTGCAACGATCCGCTTCTTCTCGTCTTGACCCAAGCGTCTTGATAACGAACAAGCCACACCAAGCAAGCGTACCGCGTGAACACATCGAGTAGAGCGCGTACCGCATATGAAAACCATGGTATTTATGCCGTACCGTCCGTGAACGGGTGGTTGCCTGCTGCATGGCGGACGACAAAGAACGTCTCCTGCTTGCTGGGACGGCAAACACGCCCACGATCAACCTCGTCATCATTTCGCCCAATTTCGCCACCTACTTCCTACTCGACAATCAATTATTTGAAGTGCACAATTATTTGAAGTGCACAATTATTTGAAGTGCACGTGTCAAAAACGAGCAAGTACAAAAACTAATTAATGGTGCTCCACACCAGGAATGGATGTAAAATGTAAATACATGGGGCTACATACCCTAATTTACTAATTTACTATTTAAATTAATTGATTGCCAATGCACTTTTTTAAATTAATGTGTTGCGGGTGTACACCGAAGGGCCGCTGCTGGTGTGGTCCTGAAAAAAAACAAGCATGGCATAACGCACAAGATGACTATTATCAAACTGCTGTGTTGTTGAGCCTCCGTCACCCGTATAGCGGAGGTATCGCTGTGTGCTGCTCGGGAAATCGTGGAAATAAGGGTACAGCAGTAGTAGTAGTCTCCGCTGTCGCTATTTGTTGGATTCAGTAGCTACAATTTACGGTGTAGCTCAGCCTCTCAATTACTACAAATATGCATACAGTAAGTAGATAGACATGGATTCGTTGTGTCATACGTGCAGCAGTATTGTATGCACATCATTTTTTTTACAATATTGGATGGAGTAGAGGTTAACAAGAAAAAAAAAAAAGGAGCAGCGGCGTGCGAAACAACGGCTCATAGGCTATACGGTATGGATACGACGAGGTTGGTTTGGAGTTTGGAGTCGAAGCACGCGTTGCCGGGGAAACAAACGGAGCGGAGCGTCGGAAAAAAATGGTAGCATAAAAGTAGATTTTAGCGGCTGGCTGCTGCCGCCCTTTGCAACCAGCTGCGCCTTGTTCCTTTGTGTTGATCATCCTAATGGTGTCCTCTGGCGCGTGTCTCACCCCATAGGCGCCGCTATCTACCGCTGCGAAATCTAGAGCGGCACCGTGTCGAGTCTCGAAGAAAGAGCCAGGCGATTGCAGCAGATGGTTCATCTTCAGTGGGCGGAGAATTGACTTTTCCAATAAACCGTCCTGCCGTACAGAGGGGCCACTGGAGGCTCGCAGGTTACCTTGCCAAATGGGATGCGTACATGAGCCGCGCTTGCTTGGCCTTCCCTCTATTGCTGCGGTCTCACACGCGTATCTTCTTCAGTGATACCGCTGTACTGCTGTAGATGGGGTGCATCATAGTTGACATGCTCTCATTGCAACTCAGATGTAAAGTGTCGAGATTCTTGGCAAACTTCTCGCAACTGGTGCGAAAACTTTGACTCTCTCTCACCTTCCCCACAACCTCACGCTTGCGTTGTACGATAACGCCCGTGGGTAGAAGCCACCGTACAAAAATCACCGACCCTATCCCGCCACCAGTTATCCCAGAGCTTGGTGCGGCGAAGGAGGCAGAGGTCTGCTGTATACTGGGGTGCAGCCGACCACAGCTGAGCTTGTGTTTTTTTTTCTGGATATTGAACTCAGGCACATGCCCGCTGTGGCAGGTGTCTATTCTACGGAGCCCCTCGCAGCAAAGCCCAGTGGCGCCAAAGCAAAGGCTTACTAGGGTTTTGTTAGGGTATTAACCTTAGAGTGACGGCACTGCTGTGGTCCACTGCTGTGCGAGACGGATACTCAAGCGGCCCCCGCTGGACTCTGGTGTGTGGTGTGTTGTGGGAGCAGCAGCATCAACAAGTGTTCACCAAACACGCGTGGGAAGTTTTATTCCCCATGTCTGCTCTTGTCGGGACCGTCTGCACGACGCCGGAATGCGGCAAGCCAGGGACCATGGCTTGCCCCACCTGCATCAAGCTCGGGTTGCCGGCCAGCCGGTACTGCGCCCAGGTGTGACACTACCGGACTACGACGTGTACGCACACACACACACACAGCAGCAGCAGAATGTGTTGAACCTCGTCGTGCAGATGGATGGCAGCGTCGTGTGTTGTTGTGTAAGGGGACGGTAACGCAGCAGCAGCAACTTGCAGCTCTCCAACGAGCTCTTTCCGCCAACGGCGGGCGGTCCTACCGACAGCAGTACTTCGACGCCGCTGGCGGCACGTTCGTTTCCGACGGGGATAGAAGACACAGCAGCAGTATCCTAGGTATCACGAGAACGAGGAGAACAAACAACAGCTCAGCGGAGCCATTGGGGCAGCGGGTTCGCGGGTTACAACCCGGTGGCTCTCCTCTCTTGGTGTGAAGTTCATGTTGCAGTGAACCCCCGACTTTATCGCAGGGTCGTTACACAAGTGCTCCGTGGAGCTGTACAGCAGCAGTAGTACGTCGTGTGGTGCCTGGCGGAGAGTAGCGCCTGTTTGCTGCCGTCTTGGGGAGGGTGTGACCCACTCACGACGGGGCGGCCAGCACCATCGGATGAGTTGGTGCCCCGCACCTCAAGCGCAACACGGCGGTGTGTTGGGCCCCAGTGTCCATACTAGCAAAATAGCAAGCCAACCGAGGCGGCCACCACGTATGGAGGCGTCGTCCTCTTGTCCGCCTAGACTATACCATGGTATGTAGCAACAAATGGCGGGCCCGTTTAGCGGCCCCCTGTTTGGCGACACCCGCCCTAGATGACGGCCAAAAGATCGAGTAGCACCACGGCACCCCCCGACTATTTTGCCGGCAGTAGCAACCTATTTACGCCCTATATTCCCTCCGGACTTGTACTTGTATTTCATTTGCCGCGACCCGGCGCAGCACTAGATGTGTTCCGACAGGACAACCGATGGTTGTTGTTGTTCTTGTTTTGTCTTCACATTGAACTTTGGGGCACGTACAACCACGACCCACCGCTGGTGGCGTACCAATATGCAGCTGGCATCACTAATATAAATTATCAGTGTATAGACTTAAAAAGACTCGAAATAAGTCCAGTACCCAGCCGGTTTTCCTCCACTCACTGAAAAGACTCCACCACATCCCGTTCGACTGTGTGTATATCTCGAATGGGTCGTCTTTCCGTGTGTGTATTTATTTTTCCTTAATTTATGCATGGAGCCCTCATCGTATTTTTGTATTTGGTGGAAGGAAGCAAGGGAGTTCTAATCACTCCTCACGCATCTAGCTTTGGCCCGTCCACCTCGACCCATGCAGGCACCACGACCTGCAACGCCACGTAGTAGTTACCCTCACCCAGGACACAGCAGGTAGAACATACTTGCCCGGGTGGAACAATGTATGGTTTCTTTGCGAGCCCTCGGCCGAACCGACTCATCATTTTTCCCGACCTCTGTGGACTGCTTCGTCTGTTTATCTTTGTGCGCTTGCGCCATGCATATGTTTGGGGCCGCTTTCGTGTCCACAGGCATGCTTCAAGGGGGACTGGGGACGCCATAAGGCGATCCACAAGCTGGCGAAGGCGAAGGCAACGGCATCCTCCGGCGCGACGTGAGCTGTGGTGGTGCGAGGTTACACGGCCTTACATGCAATTTACCGGTGCCTGTACACGCAATTTTTGTACTGGATTTGGCAACGGTCATGGGTGTTATAGTACATTGCCGTAGGAGAGATGGCATCGCCCCCCAGAGCGACGTTCAAAGCTCGATTGCTCCACGACCAAGATTTGTCTGTAACGTACCGTATAGCGTACTGTGGTATTCCGTAAGAGTCGGAGAGATGACACCCCCCCTGGACCGACTTCCAAAGCTCTATTGCTCCACGACCAACAGGATGCGGAAAGCGCCCGATACGAAGACGGAAAGCCCCCCAACGAGATGTTTTCAATAGCAGCACCATTTTCGTCGTTGGCACAATCAGTCTTTTGGTTGTGGTGCAATCGAGCTGAAAGCCGTTGTGCCATATCTCCGGCTCTTTCGGGGAATGCTGTACCGATCTATCCCTCGCCCGAACCGTAACTATAGCCTCTTCTGTGCGACGTGCATGGCGCTGGCCGGGTTCTCACCGTAATGCCGCAGATGCACACGCCCATTCCACGGGTACGTTCCGCCATCGATTGGCACACCCGGCACACAAAACCATCTAGAGCAGAGCATGGAATCCAACCTGTACCCCCCCCCGTCCCCCTCTGGCCAAACTCTCTCTCCTTTCACGTCCTACGGTTTACCAGAACTCCCGCCGTGCGGCGAGAATTCAACGGTTACACGTTTTCAGGGGATCTGAGACCCGCCGCCCTCTCCGCGACGAGAGTGGTTCCGCCGCATATCCGGCGACCCGACTACGCCGATCACCCCGAAGGTGGGGATTGGTGTCCAGAAATGATGATGGGGGGGGGGCGGGGGCGGGGGGGGCGTGACTGGCAGCGAAGATTTTGCTCCAGGTACGGTCGTTGTTTTATGTCTACTCGCGACCATTGGTGGAATCCAGAACCAGGCGGGCAAGGAGGGCCGTCAAGGGTTGCCGCACATGTTGTCATTGTCAGGCGTGTGCGGGCTATGCACACATACATATGGGGGACGTCGTGACGGCTGTCGAGATACTCATGACGGAAGTGTTGTTGTGGTCGTCCTCTTGTCAGTGGAGACCAACTAGCCCCCGGCGTTCTGGCTGGCTACCGGAAATGATCCTAGTGTCAATCAATCCCTCCGCTTGTGTGTTAGGTAGTGGCCGCGAGGCCAGTAGGCAGGAGTTGTTGCGTAGGGCGAACCTAGGGTGTTGAGGTTGAGCCCAAAACTTTCGTTTTTTCTTCTTTTTTTTTTCCCGTAGTGTTGGATATTTTCACCCTCAATGCGCTGGAGGTCTTGTTCGCCCCCGGTTGACAGCGGGAGACGACGCAACCAACGTATCCCGCGTCCCGATTATTTGGCACGAGACAATGATTTGACATGCCCCACTCCACGTCTTGTTTCTGCGCCTCTGCCACCGGTGCTGCTGTGGTTGTTGCTTCTCGTCGTTTTGTCCCCAGGGCGGTCCATGTGTGAGGAGGGGAGCAAGAGGGGGGGAGGGAGCAACGCCATCCCCGTGTACACGGCCTCTCAGATCCGGGGCATCAGGGAGGCGTGCAGGGTACGCGAGTCTTTTTTTTTTCTAGATAGGCGGACGGCATGTTGGAATACGGCACATGTTCCTTGTGTCGGGAAAGTGCAACCTGGCGTGTGCTTGTCTTGAATCCAATCGCCAACGACAATTACGCCTGGCGTCAACCAATCACATGACGGTACATCCGACGGTGCCCGCGAGCGGGGGAAGATCCGTAAATAGCATCCCATGCCGACCAGTTGTGCACTTGACAACGATTTCCCCCGTGCAGCCGAGTTCAGTCGGAACGGTGTATGTCTATCATCCAACACTGACGTATCTGACGATCTCGGGGCTTTTGGTGTCAATGTTAACTCCACAACTCCCACGCGTAGCAATGGAGCCGGCGCAGGGGGGGGGGGGCGGTGGAACGGCATGCACCACTTTTGTTGTCTGGCCGCTTTACGGGTACACCGGCCTTTTGTTGGCGAGTGATTTGTGAAGGCCCGGCGAAGTGCAATATCGCTGGCCAATGGAGCGCGAAGAGCGTCCCATCTGCAGGAAGTGGTGACGATCGTAGATGGTAAGGAGGCGGCACAAGCACATCGGTAGTCGTAATTTTTCGAGAGAGGCCAACGGGGGCGGGGAGTCGTGCTGCGGTGTTGCGATACATGGCGTTGTGCTGCGTACATGCCCAAAAGAGACAAAAGTGTGCCCGCAAAAAATCGCGGGATGCGAACGATGTCATCCCGACGACGGGCTTTACCCCAGGACCTTGCGAGACCCGTTACACGGTTCTGCTGTTCGTCTTGAAGGTGGGGGCCGAACCGACATGTTGCCCCTAAAGACGTTCGCGATGCTTGTTGGGCGGGTGTCTCGCACATGTGTCTCGGTGGCGTTTCAAATCAAATTGCGCCGCTTCGCCCGCCCCCCGCCCTTACACATCGCGCGTGTTTGTTGTTGTCCGGCAGATCGGGCGAGAGGTTTTGGATGCGGCCGGGAGGGCCGTTCGGGTTGGAGCTACCACTGACGAGATCGATCGGGTGGTGAGCTAAGCATATGCATGCAGCTCCTTGGGCTTTATTTTCGGTTCGATAATCATAGCTATTCATCAGTACACCTGTAGCTGTGTTGTATGAAAATCAGAAAGTGTTCGTGCCCCCCGTTGGCCCGACTCACACACCGTAGACGCCAATATCCCGATGCCTACACGAGACCGCACGATGCGTCGTTGTTTTGGGTGCAACAGTTTGTTGGTCAGAGGGCCGAAAGAGAAAAAGTCTGAGACAAGACCTTTGTCGATTACCGAGTGACACAGCACCGTGTAGCCCTCCCGGAGGCCCCCGCCTTGTTGTACATTCAGACCAGAGTGCCCGCAGATGAGCGTCGGGTGCCGAGTACCCAAATAATGTATTTTTGCGCTTGCGGTTTGCTCCGCGGTTCAGCGGGTACTGTAACCCCACGTTTTCTCCCTCCTCCCCTCCCCCCCCCGCCCTTCTGCGTTTACCCCGCGAAACTCCCCTTTGCGCACGCGCCTGTTGAACTCCCTCCACCCGCGCGGCGGCAGATCCACAACGCGACGGTAGAGCGAAACGCCTCGCGTGGTGACAAGAAAGTAATCTCACCCTCCCCCCCCCCCCACCTCTGCGTTGACCCCGCAAAACGCCTCTTCGCGCACGCGCCTGTTGAACCCGCGCGGCGGCAGACCCACGAGGCAACGGTGGAGCGAAACGCTTACCCGTCCCCCCTTAACTACTACAACTTCCCGAAGAGCGTGTGCACGTCGGTCAACGAGAGCATCTGCCACGGGATCCCGGACATGCGCGAGCTTAAGGACGGGGACATCGTGAACGTGGACGTGACCGCGTACTTCGGGGGTTTCCACGGCGACCTTAACGAGGTGAGGTGTGTGCGCGCTGCGATGTGTGTGTGTGTTATTTTTTGTCCGACGCAGCGACGCAGCAGCTCCCGCCCTTGCTCTTACCGTCCGTTGTGAAGTGTCTAGGCGTCCTGCTGTCGGCTATGTTTTTTTTTGTTGTTGGTCCGACGCAGCAGTTCCCACTCTTCCCCGTCCGTCCGCTCGTTCAAGAAAGCGGGCATGGCGTTGTCGAGACGTCCTCCTGGCCTTACTCCCTCTTCGTGCGTTGGGGCTTGCGCTTGACGCGGCTGGGTTTGTTGAGCGCTACGCAGGAAGAAGTTGACCGAGACGCTTCCTCTCCCTCTTCCCCTTACCGTTCTTGCCTCCAGACGTTCATGGTTGGCAAGGTGGACGAGGAAAGTGCGGGGCTAGTCGAGACGGCGTACCGATGCCTGTCCGCCGCGGTGGACATGGTGCAACCGGGGGCCATGTACCGGGACTTGGGGGCGAGGATCGGCAAGATCGCCAGGGAAAACGGTGAGGCCGGAGAGTTTGTTTTTTTTGTCGATATATGTTGCGCCCCCGAAAGTGGAATTAATAAATGCCCAAAGCAAAACACACTCAACAAAAAAACAAGACACAAAACACACCCACCCACCCACCCGATAATGTTTCATTGTATACAAATGATATTTTGAGTTGGCATGTCGATCTTGGATAGGAACCATTTCCTCCAGGAGCAAGGATCCGCAAAGCGTCGGCCGGCTGAATGTGAGCAGTTTACGGTAGGTGACACAAGACTCCACACCCCCACACCCCGTGGACCGATTTTCAAAGCTCGATTACTCCACTGTAGAAAGAGTGGCGGCACCTAAAATGGCGGCGTTCGAACCGCCTCATGGAGATATTTCCGAATACAAAGCATTTGATTTTGTCATCCTCTTCGTCCTGGCGTACTCGAGCTTTGAAAATTGGTTCAACGGGGTGTGTTATCTTGTGTCATGTCACCTACGGTATCCTAGTCTGTCCTGGTGAAGTGCGGGTGGAGATGTGTCCCGGAGGTGTTGCTATGGGATCGCAGGAAGAACGCCAGTCAAATGTTGGTTCGTGGGTCTTCCGTTCTATTAACAGGGCAGAAGCTTTAGCGTTTGAGGTGTTCCGAAAAACTCGATCAAGCGTCCCAAGCCTTCGCGGCGAACTTTTCATGATCAATCATCGTCACCTCGAGGGAAATACTGGTCTGCTCGAGAGTTGACGAGACACAAGATTGGCCATGTTTACGCCGCCGCTGGTGGTTTTGTTTGTCTTCATTTTTCGAGCCAACGATGTGTGCGCACTCGTGTCAAACAGACCGCCATTGTGCGGGGCGACTCACGTCGCCATATCGCGTCGCCATGTTGAGGGGGTAGGACACGTGGTACGGCGGTGCCTATAACTCTTTTGCCCCCCTTTTTTTACTTCGGTCAGAACACGTTTTATCTTGTTTGTTCTATAATAGGATCTCGCCCTCTGTCTCTCTCTTTCTGTCGTTTGCTCTCATGTTTCTCTCTTTCCCTCTACCTCTTTTCATGTGTGAAAAAACACTTTTCGTTCAGCCGCTTCTTTTCTGGGGGGGGGAGCAACTAAGACCACCTTGCTTGTTCTACAATGCACTCTTGCTGATTTCTTTGTTTAGAGAGCAGCTTGCTCGTTCAAGAATGGTACTCTCTTGCCGGTTCGTTTATTCTATTATGTTTTATTATTTTCTCTTTTTGGACAGGCTGCCAGGTGGTGAAGACCTACTGCGGCCACGGTATCGGCGAGCTGTTCCATACGGTGCCGACGGTCCCGCACTACCCCAAGAATAAGGCCAAGGGTGTCATGAAGCCTGGCCACATCTTCACCATCGAACCCATGATCAACGTTGGGACTTGGCAGGTATGGCACGCGGTGGAGGCCGGCCGGGCCTTCGACCGGGGAGCGTTTTCATTTTTTTGTTTGAACACGGCGTTGTTGCTTCTTCACGTGTTTATTTGTTGTGTTGACTTTTCTCATGCGGGCAACTCGGGGAGGGCGACCTCTGTTGATCATATCGTCGTCCGAGCGGGTGGCTTTACCGCGTGTTGAGCAGCGCACGTGTTGAGTTTGTGTCCTGATTTTGCCGGCGGGTGGAATGTTCCTGACGCCATCACCGGCGGGTGTTTGTTTGTCGGCTGTGCTGCAAACGCATACGAGAGAGGCAGATTGAGACAGAGACAAGAGAGAGAGACAAAGAGAGGAAAAGATAAGAGGTAACATTTTGCCTTACGAAACAGACAATAACCAAAGAACGTGCGACCTTTCCGCCGCTGCCGCCGCTGCCACCGCGTCGTTCCTTTGGTGAGCAGGACAGGACGTGGCCAGACAACTGGACCTCCGTGACGGCCGACGGGCAACGATCGGCGCAGTTTGAGCACACCCTCCTGGTGAGTTTTGTTTTGTTTTTTCTCGTCTAACACGCTCCCCGTGTTCGCGAGGCCGAGCGGCACCGCGGGAGTGAGAGGTCACCCCCTACGGTCGTATCAAAACACGGAGGCGTAAGGCATCACCACGGCACTGACCTTCTACGTGGCACCAGCTCGTGCACAGCCAAGAGTAAAGGGATCCCGGTATGTCTGAGAAGCAGCCTTGAAAACATTGCATCAAGTGTCCCGCCCCTATTGTACTCTGATTCACCGTGAGTTCAACGGTTGGTTGTTGATGTTCTCGACGGAGCAGTGCGGTGTTGAGCAGGTGTGTTTAGCTGTTTGACCTCGATTATGAACTTTCTACATGCGAAAAAAAAAACTCCTCTCCGCGACTTTTTCTTTGTCGAAAGAGCTCTCGTCGCTCCGTGCGAGTAAGGCGCTCGGGTTAAGTTGCTTCGCGACTTTCCGATGCAGATATACATAACACAAAGAAAATCTCTCCTTCTTGTGACCTCAGACGCCGCGGCTACGCCGTGATCAGCGATGGCAACTGCAGTGCTTTGCCAGGGTGTCACCGCACGGGCGCGAGCGGTCTAGGTCCATCCAGATACATTGCTTGATTGTGGGGTAAAATCCTCGATTTCGAGTCTGAAAATCGAAATCAGTGGGTTACGCATCGTTCAAAACTCATGCCCAGGTGTACTTTGAGCTGAGTAGCACAGGTGTTGACGAAAAGGCAAGAACAACACGACGCCATCCGCCACCCCCTTGAGCAAAGATGATGCACCTCGCGGTTCATATCAGCGCTCGAAAGTGCGGTGCATGCATTGTACGACCTCGAGGGGTTGACCTGCTTCATCGTGTAAGCGTGTTCGTTTGCAGTCCGAACGCCGTCGACAACTTTTCTCCCCCTGGCTTTTCGTTTTGTTTGTCGTCCGTCTCCCCCTCCCCCCATGTCCAGGTTACAGACCAAGGGTGCGACATTCTCACCGCACGAGACGGAAAGACTTGGATGGAGTGGGACGTCGCGGCGGTGCAAAGATGATCGGGGAGAGGAACGAGGAACCCCGTGGGGAATGGCCTACTAAGTACGGGTTCTCCTGCCGTCATGCCGGGGATAGATGCACCTCATGGAGGGGTTGGGAGCGTGCCCCCCCCCCCGAGAGGAACTATCGGCGGAAGGAGGGGATCATAAGCTTGTCCCTCGCGGGAAACGCCGCCGCTTTGCAGTTTGTGTGGACGAAGTAGAGGGGGGCGACAGAGCTCCAAGAGGCCTCGGGGTATCAGTATGTTGTGTTTGGTGAGCCCGCGATTTGGTACAAGCGCGGCACCTGAGGGTCACCGCCCAGCGAGCACTGACGAGTCATACGGCCGGTGCGATGGAAGGACGGGGGTAGGCGATGTGCTTGTGTTTCGGGGATCGGGGGACGGGGGACGGGGGGGTTGTGTTTCCAGTTGTAGCTTCGTGGTAGCTCATCCCCTGGGTGTTTGTTAAGTCTGGGGCAGGCGTCCTGTGCTGCCTGCATATCTTTCCTCAAACTACCTGTCTGAAGTGTTCTTTGCGCCGCGAATTCTAGAGGCTAACAGGTGCAGCCTAACCCTAACCCAGTTGACCTACCGCCGAGGCAAAACTGCTGTATGGTATTTTGTGTTTCCCGTTGATTGTTGTTTCGAACGGTCCATGGAACGGTCTGTCTTTGTGAAAAAACTCAGCACTGCAGGTGGGGTTTGCGAAATTGCTGTTGCCATCAAAATATCAGATTACCAATTGTTTTCTTCTCGAATTTCTTCGAAGAGACTTCGTGCGTATTATAGTGTGCACGTTCAGCTGTTGCCTGTTGACTAAATAGCCTCCATGGCAAGGAAACGAGAGGTCCAACAACTATGTATGTTCGTTTTTATTTTTGAGCGGGCTTCAGGTGTCTACCAACGGTGTACCATGTGGACTAGCCTGCCGCACCTTGCAACCGCTGCATTTCGGTGGTTCTTCCTTCCTGCGTGTGGGGAAATGACGTCGAAGGTAGACTACTAGTCAATCAAGTAGTTCCAAGAGCACGTTGGCTTGTTGCTGTGGAGTCAAGACGACTTTCACCCATTTCTTCTGTACGCACGACATCATGACATCATGTGGTGCTGACATCATCATCTGTTACCACCCAGAAGGAGGAGCGCGAAGCGACTGGATACCGGCCCGCTTGCAAGAAACAACTACAATACAAGCATTTTGTTATTTTCAGCAAGACCCAACACACTTGTTGGTCCAAACAAGCACAGACAGGATGATGGTGTTTTCAATGTGCAATATGCTTTGGGGTGGCGCAAGGGTACACGCAAAAAAAATCCTGGACGCATAGGCCACCCCCCTCCCACCCCTCCCTCCACCCCCCCGGGAGGGCAGTTTCGATTTCGGTCTTGTGTAGGAATTAGCATGGCGGGGTTCGTTCGCGAACGAACGTAGTAGTAGTAAGGGTTGGCCCCCCCTACACACACACGGGCTGGGGTTTTTTTTTTTTCCAGGGGGAGCCCTTTTTTCAAAAATTGGCCCCCCCCCCCCCCCCCCCTCCCGCACGGTCTCCGATTTCGACTACTAGTAGAACATACATGTCTTGAATGTACGTTGTCTACCTCAAGTTTGCTCACTGCAAGTACCCTTTTTGTGTACAAAAAGCGCCACAGAGCGGGTGAGCCAGTTCCCAAAGAAACAAATGTGAGCCTCGATTTGTTGTGTTGTTGTGAAGATTAAGATTTGTGTAGATATATGCTCTTCTCATGAGGTGGCCGGCACTCTGCTGCATGCTGCTGCTCGCTATGCTGTCCACCCGCAAACAGAGGTGGGGGCTGATGCTCTATCTAGGTGTGTGGGACCGGGCTCTAATATATATCCTCCTCGGGATCTTGCAATAAACTGTGGAAACCCCGGGGACACTGGACATGCATATTTCCTCAGAGGTTCAGTCAAGTGCAAGGGGACGCCACGTTTTGAGATCCTGTTTTTCACTTCTCGCACACAACAAGTCCACAAACAAGGGCGGATAATCGAAAAAGATCCGTTTTCCCTCTTATTCCAATAAAGACACACGCAGTGTAACCTGCATCCGGGACAAGAGACGGGAAACAGACACCATCAGGCGCTTCCGCAAAACTCCACGTGACTTCGCGACGGCAGCAGCACCGCCGAGAGGAGGATCAGCTACTTGTTGAGATCCAGAGAGAGAGGCTCCGCCGCCCACACCTCGCCAGCAGCACAGTTTTCTCCAACGGATACATACAAACAAGGTTGGGCGACGGCGTGAAAAACATCGACAAAGCAAAGTATTTCGGCGAGACAACAAAAAATTCTACTGGAGGCAGGGAGGCACAGCAGCTGCTGTACACAGCCTGCGGGTGGTCTCTCTAAAGAAAAGGGTGAGCACGTCGAGCTTCAGAGCATTGCACAGGCGGGGTGTCTTCCCCCGCGCGTCGTATCCACAGGGACATGTGGATAGGGCCGTTGGGTTTTCGGGGTGCGAGCAAGTCATCCATTGGTCCTCTCACACAAACTCTGGTACAGTACTACTAGTGCTGTTGTTAAATTCTGAGGTCCGCCACTCGGCAAAAAAAAAAGGTGTTCTGCTCTCTCTCTCTCATGTTTTTTTTTTTTCTTAATATTTGTTTTTTTCCAAAATTTAATTATGGTCCGCCGCGGGTGCCAAGCAACAACAACAAGTCAGCCCGGGACGCTCTGCTTCCAAGAAAACGAAAAAACCCAACAACTTCTTCAGAGCTTCAAGTAGCTAGGCAGGCAGCAAGGCAGCAGCAACTAACCCTACCTAGGTAGGTACGCTTGAGGCGTTAGTGCGAGAGAGGAACGCGCCTACCACTACCAGCGGGCGGTGAACAAGACGCTGACTGCTCTGTCTCTCCTTTGTCTCGTGGTTGTTTGTCTTGAAAAGAGAGAAAGAGGAGGAGGAGGCGAAGCAAATCAGCGGTAGCAGCAGCAGCGGACTCGGGAAGAGAGGTTGGAGCGCTTGTTTCAGCGTACGCGGAGGGCGGCCGGCGTCAGGGGGGCAGACGTGAACCATGACGGGGGCAAACAAGTGCCTGTTCGGCGAGGGGAAGGAGCACTGCTTGAAGCATCGGATGTATGGTGAGAACAAGCAGAAGTGTGTGTGGTATAATCAAATCTGCTGTCATGGCAAGGACGGACTTTTTTTGGAGTTGTGCCCGCGTGCGCCCTTCTCCGCCTCTTTTGTGCCGAACATTAAAGTACGTAGCAGCGCTCTCCTGCTGCCCTTTCTCTTCCTTCCGAGCTGCTTCTACCGCTGGGTTTTTGCTTGCAGGCTTCCCGCCGTTCTCTCACCATACTTGTATGTTGTCGGCAGCATCATCATCATCCCTTGTCCCTCTTGGCACAACCAACACTGCCAACCAACTGAAAGCCCCCGTGTTTGCGTTCCAAGTTGTCCAAAGTTTCGGCGGGAAAAGCAAGTTGGTGTGAACCTGTGATAGTTAGGGCGTTTGTGGTGGCAAAGCGGGCGGATGCGACCAACCCGGTGTGTGTGTGCGTGTGTGTTTGTGCTCAGCTCATGGCACCATCTCACCACCAAGCCCGCCGGCGTTCCTACTGTACTCTTTTCCTGTATCGTGCTTCATCATCACCATTTGAATCGCGTGTGTAATACAACATTTACGCATCATGTACCTTGTAAATTTCGCGGCTTGCTGCTCAACAGCAGTCGTAATTTGTCCGGACTTGCGTCGGCGGCGGGGCGGCGACCCACAAACACACACACACACACACACACACACACACACACATTGTTGTGCCTCCGGTGTAAACATTACAGCATTACATCTCCCTCTTTGCGGTATTCCGGACACCAGGGGGGGCGATGTGCCTCCTCCCGCTATACATATATGCGTCTTGTTTTGAGAGGCATCACGCGAGAGGCTTGGAAGGAAAAGGGTGGACGGATTACTTGCTAGCATTTTCCACTGGAGTTGTAGTGAGTTCTTCCAGGGTCGTCCTTCGTTCATGTACAATAGTACCGCCATGCTGTAGGAGAGAGAGGGAGAGAGAGAGAGAGAGAGAGAGAGAGAGGTATTGCATAGCGAGGACAATATTTCTTTGCCTGTGATGATGATGAGCCGCTAAGCTACTGCAGCAGTGTGCGTACTGTACAGCAGCAGTAGTGCTTCATGTGTTTCGATGTTTCTCGATTACTAGGAAATTTGTGAAGACAATAAACACCATACAAATACAGACAAGCAGTCACCGACGGAGCCTGCGCTATGTAGCACATCCCTTCACCTTATTTTGTGTACAACTGGCTCAACATATGCAGATGCATATGCACACATACAATCAAGGAGAGACTACACCCCGCACTTGGATGTACTCTCAGCAACTCACAAAAATTGTAGACTAGCATCTATCTACATCGTTCACTTTTTTTTTTCGTTTGCCGTCGTATTCATGCCCTTGCCGTGTTAGCCGGCCACGCGCCCTCTCTGTCCATCCACCACTCACACTGCTGTTGTGTTGGGCCGATTAGACTGCTGTATTTTGTAGTCCACAGGATATTTCTTGAGATTAGGGGCCGCAGGCCAGCGGAGAGTCGGGTGTACCGCCCAACGAGCGGCAATTCTTACGTGTTTACGCATGTAGCGTAGCGCAACAATCAGCAGCTTGCTGCCACATCATTGCCGTGCCCGAAGTCTTTGTCAACCATGATTCTGACGTTGGTGCTGTATTTTGCCGAGAGAGTCGAGGGAGGGGAAGAGGGGAATCAAATCAACCACGTTTTCCCTACCGGGCTGTTTTGTACGGTGCGGTGCACGATGTATCCTCTGGTATTGTAGCCTCGACGACATCTATACAAACGAGATGAACAATACCGGAAGCAGCGTGTTATTAGAGTCGCAGAGCTCCTGTTGTTGTCCTGACATCGACAAAACAAAAAACGGTCCGGTCTCCGCCGGGTAATATCCGTACCGGTCCAGCCGACGCAGACGCGTTCCGTGGAGTGAGAAATCACACCGATCCGCCGGTAGACTGGAAGTAAGTACTACAGGGATACACGCTCCGTTGGGTGTGCGTGCACATTTCGAGACGACCGCACCCGAGCTCTGCTTTGTTCTCGCCGTTCGGGGGGAGAGCTGTAGTACGTTGTACCGTACAGCAGAATAGTGAGTGGACCGGCCCAAGCACAAAGAAACACTGCTTCAAAATTGTGCTGGAGTGCTTCGAAGACTACAATTATTACTTCCCAAGAGTGCTTCGAGGTAGACTGTGGGAGGAATAACCATCTGTACCAGGTATATCTAGATACGTACCTAGTTGCGAAACAGTGCCCGAACTTCGCATAAACTTAAACTTCGCACGATTTCTTTTGCAGCAGCCCTGCTGCGACTGCCCAGCCGTGTCATGGAACAGAGACCGGGACACATTTTCTTTGAAATGCCATACGAATCATATGCATTTTTTTTTTTATAATAGTCCGTTTTCTCATGCATGCATACATGCATCAACGAATGATGCTGCATCCCTTGTACATTGTACATGCGGAAAAGGTGGACTAAAGGAGGAACTAAATAGAACTATTTGTTGAGGGCGTGGCCCGCAGGCCGACCGTGTTATCTTTCCTACGCTTGGAGACGAAACTTTCCACCTTCTGGCCGAGGGGGGTATGTATGCACACACGATGGTACAATAGAATGGTCTTCTTGCGGAAATATACCTCCCCACCGCTAAATTAAAGCCACAAAAAAAACAACTCTCGGGGAAAATTCTTCACAGCAGCAGCAGCAGCAGCGGCAGCAGCAGTTTTAGTCGGCGGGAGCGGTTGTTGCGCATGTGGAAGGAAGTGTGGTTACTATCAGCGTTGACTCTGCCGCTGTCTCAACAACCTGTCTGGCTTTTGCCGGCCCCCGCGCCTCCTGTAACGTGGAAACACATATATCAGGGTGTGTATGTGTATGTATGTACTCTCGAGGCCAAAAAATAAACAAATGGAAATGGATCTCGTTTTTGTTGGGCTTGTTGCCGAGCTGTACATCGAAGCCAGGGGGGCATCGCCGCAGGAAGAAAGTCGGAGCTTGAAATACTCAAGAGTGTTTGTGCGCCTCGGAGAAGAGGCTCACCTCCCACATAGGGGCCCAACTGTAATGTCTAGAGTATTTCGACAGGTGATTGGTGGGAGGACAGGTATCTACCCGGCTCTACCCCGCTAAAACTCAGGATTTTTTTTTCCGGTCCAACATTCAAATTGCCCGATGTATGCATGCGTACGTGTATGGGCCCGGTTCCAAAATTACCAGAATTTGTGTAATTTAATCGAAGTATCAAAGTAATTATGCGCCTCTCCCTCCACGTGTGTGTGGCCTGTGGTGACCCAGGCTGGAGAGGCAAAAAATACGCCGCTGCGGTAGATAAATCTTCGATACATTTGCCTCTTGGGATGTTTTCTGGAGCAATTTGCGTGTAGGTTGTAGGTAGACCTCTCTATTTATGTGACGTTAAAAGGAGCATTTACTGCTGTGCTGTGCCAGTAAATAAGCTTGTGGTATTTTGTGTGTGTGGGACAGCATGTGTTGATGCTTCTTGACAAGGAAATATACTAATCAAAGAGAAACTGCTTCTGTAAGGACAAGACTTTTCACCGCGAGTTCCCGAACTTTATGTACTCTCAGGGAGACACGTTTTCGCCGCAGGATCCACGCGCGTTTTTCTGTACTCATCATCGCCCAGGAACAGCTTCTTGCCATGACTCCTGCGCAATCTTCATGATCATCACCTTTCTCTGCCTGTCTGTCTGTCTGTCTGTCTCATTATCTCTCTACTCGTTCTCTCTCTCTCCTCTCGCCGCACAACAAACACCGTTTCGCATACATGCCTTATTCACTACGCCCCCCCGCCGTGTTAACTGCTGTCTCTGTCCCTCCTCCCCTCTTTTTGTTCCAGCTTTTCCTGGGGAGAAAGCGCAGTTTTGTTCGAGCCACAAGATGCCCGGGATGGTGGACGTGCACAACAAGCGCTGTGAAGCGGAAGACTGCCAGAAACATCCCACTTACGGCATCGCGAACGGGCGGGCCAGGTTTTGCACCAAGCACAAGGGTCCGGACATGGTACGTACTACGTACTTAACAATTATTTGCGTCGTCAATGTTCCTAAGCATATGGGTACGCAATGGTGTGTGTGTCTTTATTATTTGCAACGACCGCACTGGCCGGCTGACCAGTGGAAAGACGTCGGTCTCAGTGCGGTCGAAAACACAAAAAAACGCGAACACTTGTAAATACCATCAAGTGGGACCCCGTGTGTGTGGGAGTATTTTTTCGTGTGTATTTGCATAGTTGACATGGTACTACTTTTTTTGTTAAGGGCCTGTTTTAATGTTTATTTTTGTCACCAAAATTGAGGCCCTGCAAAAAATAAGTTTTGGGGGGGTCCCGGGGGCCATAGACGCTGATTGGTCAACAGGAAAAAATCACGATGAGCCTTTCTCTGCCCGGAAAAGCGGGACCTCGATATTGGGTGCTTGTTTTTTGCTGAATCAAAGTACCCGAGTTGCACTGCGCGCCCCTTTTGCACCCCCGTCACGAGCTGAACTCGTGCTGGCGTTACCCCTGACGGGACTGCATGTGGCACACTGGCCGTGCGGCACTCACACGCATCGCCCACTGCCTGCTGCTGGGAAATAGCTGTATTGCAATGATTCTGTGAGCGTGCCAACTTTTCGCGCTGGTTGGGTTGCTGTGGGGGTTGCTTTCCGTTTCCAATATGTGCGATGTCAACAGTCAACGGCCGGCTGTGTGCAGCGAGACGGTCCAAACAACAGTTGTAGAGCAAGCCTTAGGATGAGGGTTGGACCGCCGGCACCGCCAGCTGATGCTTAGCTTCGTGTGTGTGCTGATGTATTTTTACGGCTCCCGCCCGTGTGGTGCACATGGTCTATCGCTGTACCTGGTTGGTCACCACGTCACCTCGCGGCAGCGATTCCGCCGCATTTGGGTGTGTTGCTGAACTTCGGTGTTGCAAAAATGTGTTAAAACGACGCATGCCCTTTTTGGCCGAAAATCCAATTTAGGTATCCAATTTAGGCGACAAAATAAACGTTAATACACGGCCGAACATCCCAAACCAGACCTTACGAAGGTGAGTCTACGTACGTACTTGGTAGTTTGTGCGTGACACACCCTTGTCTCTCCTGCTTGTCGCCCCCATTTTCTTGTTTTTTTCAGGTCGATGTCCACTGTCGGCCGTGCGAGTTCCTGGGGTGCAGCAAGCACCCACACTACGCCTTCGAGGGGGACAAGGCCAGGTTCTGCGCCTCCCACAAGGAGCCCGGAATGGTCGACGTGAAGCACAAGCGCTGCCACAAGACCGGGTGCAGGGTAAGTGAAAACACCCATGACTTTTTTGCTGTTGTTGTTGTTGTTGTTGTTGTTGTTGTTGTTGCTGACTCGTGACGTACGGAAGCCGGGTGCAGCGGTTGTTTGTGAGCGGAAATGGAGAGGAGCGTTGTGTTGCTGACCTTTGTTTAATCTTGTTGAAATAGTCGTTGTTGTTGATAGTAATGCTGGCGCTTGACGTGTGTGAGGCTTGAAAAAGGGCGTTCATACATGTGTATGAATCTTTTTCAGTAGCACGTCTACCGTTTTGTCCCCGGCTGTAGTACATAGCGTGGTGCCAAATGCCGTTTGTGTACGGGGATGATGGTGCAGGGGGGGATGATGACGCAGGGTTTCCCTTGTGTCGCTTGCGCACGTACAGTAACACACCAATGGGAGAATTACGAAAATCCGCCCCCCCTCCGGTTAAAATCCGCCACCTGCATAGTTCAACACTGCTGCTGAACACCTTGTTTGAACCCGTCCTCTTGCGCGCGAACACCCCTTCTCCGCCGGCATGTCGGGCTGTCGCTCTCCCTCTCTCTCTCCGTTCCCCTGCCAACGATCTCGTGGACGTTTCGACGCGTGGTTTCTTGGACCAAATTTCTCAGGAAATGCGAGTGTACGAAACTCCCGAGAAGAAGAGCCGGTTCTGTGCGATGCACCTGGAGCAGTGGCTCACGTCGAAGGTGCGGCGCAATTAACAGTCCAACAGCGGTAGTCACGCGGTGCCGATTTTTCCCGTCCCATGTAGACACGTGGAGGGTATGTGTTTTTCCCCACTTTTTTTTTCCTCCGGATGTTTGATGTATATTGTATGGCCTCAGGTATATTACATGGTGGTATCTTCCCGCCGCGTACCGTGGAAAATTCCTTCTGCTGAAGATGCCCACACGCACGGTGAAAACGTCCGACCACACACCATCCGCTTGCCAAACAAACCGACCCACTCGCCGAACAAATTATACAGACCATACGCCGGACAGCGAATCACGAGCCGGGGTCGGAATCGGCTCCGGGGAGGACATCGGCGAAGAAACGGCAGAAAAATTCCCGCGGCGCCAAGGGCGGCTCGAAGGCATCCGGAAACGGCAGGAGGAGCTCGGACAGAGCGGTGGCGGCGGCAACGGCAACGGCAACGGCGGCGGCGGCGGCGGCGCATAGCCAGGCCTCCGCTTTCCAGCAGCCGGACTTGCTGGACTGGTCGCCGGGGGGAGAGGACGACGCATCATCTGCATCGAGGGGCGGAGTCAAGCGGAAGTTGTCGAAGGCGGTGGGTGGTGAGGTGCGCCCGGGTCCCTCTAGTAGGGGGGCCCGTGCATCAGGCAACGGCGGGGGGGTGTCCCTTTTGTCCGCGGACGGAGGCGCAGGAGGAGGAGAGACCGCGGTGGATTGCGTCAGGCGAAGAGGCGCACAGGGGTCCGGTGGTGGAGGCGACGCAGAGGAGGCAGTAGCGTCCGGCAGCGGCGGCGGCGGCGGCGGGCACGGCGCCTCCTCTCCAGAGGGGAGGGGAAGGGCCGGGGGAAGGGGCCGCCGGCCGGCTGCTCGCGGTGACAACGCGGATGAAAACGGTGCCTTCTTTGCGGCAGCTTCGGATGCGGCCGCCGCCGCATTTGGCGGCAGGGGCGAGATCAAGCCCAAGCTGGAACCCAGGATGTACGACGACCGCGTTGGGGGAGGGCCCGAAGGCGGCGGCGGCGGCGGCGGCGGCGGCGATACGTTGTCGCATCTCGGCGGAGCAACTGCGGCGGAGACCTTCATGGGGGAGAGGAGCGGCGTGGAGCAGCTGCAGCGGGTGGGCGACGGCGGAGGCGGCGGCGGCGGCAGAAGACGAGGACGCGGCGACCGTCTCTACGAGGGCGGCGGGTCGTTTAGGCGGGGCGGGGACGGAGGCATGCCGGACGGAGCGGCGGCGGGCCATGGCCCTCCTCAAGTGAGTCGTGCTGCTGCTGCTGCTTCTGCTGCCGCTGCTGCTGCTGCTGCTGCTGCTGCTGCTGCTGAATCGTTTCGACTTTGGATTTTGGGCAACCTCTTGGTCCGTGTAGTAGCGGAGCTTTCGAAATCGGTTCGGGGTGTGTGGCATCTTGCGCGACCTTGCGGTGCATGTTTGCTTTTGTTGCCGAACCGCTGGGTCGAGATATGTATGGTACTGGTTCGTCGCCTGTGATGTGTACCTAGCTCCCCGCCCGAGGTCTGTTTTTTTTCTTTTCTTGGGGGTGTTTTTTCCCGTCCTATTCTGGAGCATGCGTGCTTGGCAAGTACGGGGGGTTAGCCCCCCCGGTTCCTTTTTTTTTCTGCCAAGACAAACCATACCATGTTCATCTTGAACAATCGAAACAAGTGCACGGTAAACAAACCGTACCATGTTCATCTCGAACCATAGAAACGAGTGCACGGTAAAAGTAGCAATGAATCCATAATGTTGTGGGAGCTCTACCAGTATTTCGACTGCTGCTCCTACCAACACGGTTGCTTTTCGTGTGCTTTCTTTCTAGCCACATGGTTGGCGGTCCAACCTCTCGCCCTTGCACATCCCCTGAACGTACTCACGATTTTTTTTATCTCAACCACCTACCACTATAACCGCTTTCTTCCTTGACAGGGCTCGGGGGCAGACGTGGACATGGGGGTCGGAGCTTCGTTCCTGAACCTCTCTCCGCCCTCGGAGAAGTCGACCATGCACCGGGGGCACCGCAGACTGGCCTCGTTCGACCCAAACACGGACTGCTTCTCGCACTTCAACTACTTGGTAGGGGGCGGCAGCGACGGCGGTGGCGCGCTGGCGGAGGCTAGCCGAAGGTTAGTTAGTCATGATGTTGATGACGATGATGCTGCTGACGTATCCTTTAGTTCGACGGGAGGGCGGGCGCGGGCGGCATGTTTTTTTTTTTTTTCTCTCTGCCGATCGGTCTCTTTCGAGACAGAAGCGCGTCCATCGACGTCGAGTGGTGACGCCTTGCGGCATGTGCTGTGGAAGCACCAGCCGGGGTATAGACAGGAGCAAAGGACACAGCAGGATATAAACTGCGGCGCTTTGCCTTTTTCGTGTTTTCGTGTTTTCGTGTTTTCGTGTTTTCTATGGTAAGTTGTACTACCGCTCCGGGAGCAGTGTAGCGTTTCGTGTTTCATGTGCATAGGAACAAATATTGTTTTGACTGATCATGCCTCTATCTCCCGTGGTGCTCTGCCGGAGCTGGTTCGAGTAGCTGGCTCCTCACCGGAATGCTAGGCAGAATAGCAGGTACTGCACGCGACTGGGGATGAGCCTCTTCCCCGCCCCCCGCCCCGAAATAAAAACAAAAAATAAATACGAAGTACTTAATTTGAGTATTTTTTTTTTCTCGCCTCGTGTTTCCTGCGGTAGGGGGCTGTTCTTCCAGCCCGTTGGAGCTGCCGAAGGTCAGGGGTACACCCTGCCGCCCCGGGGGGGGGGCAGCGTCAGCAGCCTGGGAAGCTTCGGGGGGAGCTTCGGCAGCTTCGGAGGTGGCGGAGGGCGACGCCATCACCGCGGCATGAGCAGCGGGTGAGTTGGTTGTGCCCACGATCATGTTGATCGTCTAGGCTACTACTAAGTGTGTCGTTGCCCGGCACGGGGTTGGAATTTCGTCCCCAACTGTTTTTGCATGAGTTGACACACCATTCATGCCATTCATAGTGTCGCTGTTGGAGTGTCGGTTGTGTGATGGAAAGATAAGTCCCCCCCCCCTCTCTCTCTCTCTTGTCTTTTTTTTTATTTTGACATCAGGTCCGTGGACCTAAATGTCTTGGCACCGGTTCTGGCCGAGCTCCGCGCGAGCGGCGGGGGTTGTGTGATGGAAAGATAAGTCCCCCCCCCCTCTCTCTCTCTCTTGTCTTTTTTTGTTTTGACATCAGGTCCGTGGACCTAAATGTCTTGGCACCGGTTCTGGCCGAGCTCCGCGCGAGCGGCGGGGGAAGCATCGGCGGAATACAGGCCTATCCAGCACTCTGGCACCCGCCAAGCGGCGATGCCGCCGCCGCCGCCGCCGCCGCCCAACCCCAACAGTACACCCAGCCGCCGCCACCTCACCGGGAAGAAACCTTCTTGCACTCTCCCCGCGATGGCGGTAACGGCACCAGCGACGGGTCTCGAGGCAGGCAGGAGCAGCAGCAGCAGCAGCACGGCGGTGCCGCTGCTCCGTTTCCGCAGCAGCAGCAGCAGCAGCAGCAGCAGTACCAGCGGCTAGTGGAGGAACAGCACCAGCACCAGCACCAGCGCAGCGCGAGCACGTTGTCCCTACCGGTGGTGGCGGAGCCGGGGACCCCGCCGCACATCCTCAGCGACGATGCCGCGTCTTCGGCAACCAACGGACTCTCCCCTAGGAAGCTGACCCCCTCGTCCTCGACAACTCCCACCGCGGTGGCGGTTAGCGTCAGCGGCGGTGGAGCGGGCGGTGCGGCGGCGATGCTTCACAACGGCGGCAAGGCGGCGGGCGGCGGCGTCGAGGCTTCGGTGGGCGGTGACGGCGATGCCGCCGCGATCAACGCGGGTCATCGCCGCTCGCACGAGTTCAGCGGCGGTGGTGGCGGCGGCGGCGGCGGCGGCGGTGGCGATGATGCCATCAGGCGGGAGTACTCGCAGTTTTTCTTGTCGATGGCCGGCGGTGGGCCATCTGGAGGCGGTCGTCAGCGCGAGGGGAGAATTGGCGCTCCCGTTCACGCTGAGGCTCAGCGCGCGTTTACGGTGGGTGTTTTTTGCGAGCGCTATTTTCGCCTGGGGGGCACGGGAATTGCAAGCATGCCATATAACCCTCCCCCGTCGGAAGAGCCTGGGCCCGGTGAAAACCCGGCGTTCTCCGTCCCGGCTTTGTAGGGATGCGAGGTCAATGGTCTAACGACTACGGCATTCACGACTATGAGTACACTCCCCCCGTCCGAAGTGGGTGAATGAGGATGGCGTGTTGGTATGTTGTCATTCCTCAGTGTTGTGTACGGCCTTCGCGAGACGCGACCGGTTCCTTTACCTCTCCGCACGTACCCTCGTCAATAGACCTCATTCGTGATATCCTCTCCTGCCGCACCAGTCAGAACGGGGCTTTGCATTCGAGGCTGAACCTCCTGCTTGTTCAGCAAGAGGTCGTAATTTTCCATGCCGTTTTTTTGTACGGCGACCGATGCATGTTATGGGCAAGAAAAATGTTTTGAGGCGCCTCCTTTGAGCGGTTTTGATTGGGTGTCGCGAAAGAAGGAAGGGGGGACGCGCACGCTTTCTCCTCTGCAGCGCACTGAACGAACCCTGATTCCCGCCATCTTTCCCTGTCTCCGGAACAGGGGGGCGGCCACCTGTTGCGAAACGCCTCTTCCGTGGGGGGACGCCGCCGCCCCACCCACGAAGACGACTACGCCGCCTCCGCGCGACATGAGGGCGGGGGGCACGGCCACCGGGAGGAGCTGGAGGGCGCAGTATGGATCAAACACCCGGCGGCGCGTACGAGCTTGCACCCGGGTCAGTTGGTGGGCGGGGCGGATCAGCACGGCGGCGGCGGAGGGATGCTTCTGCCGCCACGGGCGGGGGCTCCGCAGAGTGCGGCGGCGGCGGCGGCGGCCCTGCCGCGGCGTCAATGGTGATGACGTCCGCTGTTTCCCGGCTCGGTGGATGATAATACCTTGCTGCTGCTGTCGATGATAGCTTCGGATTGATTGGAACCGAGGGGTTTTGGGATTGGTGTCGGGACCGCGCCCGTGTGGCTGTTTGGCGGCCGGGCTGTGGCCTGTGGCCCGGCTGCTGCTGCTGCTGCGGCGGCGGCGGCGGCGGCGGCGGCAGACTCTGTATTTGTACGCAGTTTCTTGCCCGCTTTCCAAGGGCACGGGCAATGGCGTCGGCCGAGACGGCAACGCGGGTGCTTGCTGGTCTCTTTCTTATATATAGGACGGCGGGAGGATCACGGGTGTGTTGTGAATTTCGGCGGGCACTACTGGAATTACATATTGTATTACATATCTCGTCTAGTGTGTGGTTGTTTGAGAGGTACGGGGACATTGTTCCCCCCATCCCTTTTTTCGTTCTCTTTTTTCCCCCTAGTCCATCTTTTTGGCGCGGGAGTCGGCTTGTCCTTGGTAGACTCTTTTTTCTCTGTCGGGTAGTTTCGTTTTTTTTCTCAAAAGAGTGTGTTGGTCGTTGTCAGCATCATTGTCGTTGTCATTGTTGTTGTTGTCATTGTTGTTTTCGTCTTGTTTCCTGTTTTGATCGTGTCTCGTTATTACACCCTATCGTAATTCAGTCTAGTCAGTCGATGTTTCCTGTTGTCTACAATATGAGAACCGGAAATGGTGGCTGGCACCTCCAACCCGCCCCCCCCGCTTCATGAGCATGCGCGCAATGTTGTGGGTTTTCGGCATGGGTCTCGGTTGTTGGCATGTGCGAGTCCACGCAGTAAGTTGTGATAGGCTGGCTGCTTGCGTGGTCCCCGGGTTGTCGTCCAGTCCAAAGCCTCCGATCGGTTGATGTGTGGGGAGGTTTTCCTTGTATTGTACGCTTTGCCTCTTGTGCATGCCTTGCCCGTTTCGGGCTCCCCCTTGCTTGATCTCCCTTGTTCCTTCATAGTAGTCTGGTTTGTATGAAGGCGTCCGGCCGCAGTGTAGTGTGCCCCCGCCATTCCTTTGGATATCTATTGTCATTGTTGCCTGTATTTTGTACGGCTCGAGTGGGCGAAGCCCCCCTGTCCGATCATCGCCGTGCTGTGTTTCCTGTCGTTGTAGTAGCGCATCTGCTTCGCGCTCCTGCCTGCCGACCTTCCTGCGGGGGGGCTGGCGGGCGGAGAAAACGAGCGAAACAGAAAAATAAGCGCACGAAAGACTAAACGGCACGTTCTTGATGAAGAAACCCGGCCGTTGTGTTTTGTGTAGGCCGTGATTGGACTAGACACTACTGTCAAAATGTTGTAAAATGATGATATTGCCACCGTGTATATCCGCCAGTCCTCGCTTTGGATATTTTGGCATGCGCAAGCAAGTACATAAGAGAGAGGGAGCGGCACATGCCAGATTTAACGTAGACGCCTCCTGACGGCGAAGCCCCACCCCTTGCCCAGGCGCGCGCTCTTTTGCCGTGTATGGTGGTGCTGGGCGTGGAACGCGGGTCTTCTCTTGTTGGTTTTGGTTGGCACGGGACACCGCGTGTGTCAGATTTGGTGAGGGCTGGGAAAAAAATAAATAACGGGAGGAGACAAAGAGTTTTTTTTTTATTTGTTTGTGGCTGTGGCTGTGGTAATTCGTTTGTGCTCTTGTAAAACTTTTGGCCTGGCTTGATATTGTCGGGCGGGTTTCCTCATGCTTTTTTCATGTTTTCATATCACGGGGGAGCGAGCGACCCCCCGGGTTCCGGTTAAGAATGAAACCACGACTTTTTTCTGAAAAGCGGAGGCCTTGGTTGCATCCGTTGAATATATTATGGACGTAAATTGACGCGTGTCCCTATTAGCAACCTTTTG